CTCTTTCCACGCTCCCCTATAGAGACAGAAGGTTCACTGCGCTTAATCAGAATACGTGTGCTTCAGTTTCCACAAGAAGATTCTCCGGACCCTTTGCCTCTAGATAACGAGACGGGCCTGATGATCTAGGCTGCACTCAGTGGGATGAGGAATACTACACGGTGGAATAAGGAGCTGAGTCTTAGTAGTTAGGCCAGGTGGCGTACGATGCAGGCAAGTATTTCCCGGCGGGGCACGGCTTCTTTGATTGTGTTCCTCTTGGACAGTAATAACCGGGAGGGCATGCATTTGCAGCCTTCGAAGGTTCCGTTGAGCCTGCATACGCGGCATCGAACCCATGCTGCCCTCAGTTAGGTGGAATGCTACGGCGAACGGCGTGTCGAACGCCGTCTGGTATAGGGAGCAAAAACGCAGGGGCATTGATGGCTTAAAAGCCCTTGCTAACCTTCTTCGCAGAAGAAGCCCTCTGCGCAGTCTCCTGATTCAGCGTCAAGACCCATGGACGAGCAATATTTTCCAGCAGGGCATTTTTTGGGTGTACCCGTCCCTGCGGGGCAGATATATCCGATTGGGCAGAGACCTGCCTCGATGCAGAGCTTTGGATAGAATATGCTTGTAACGCCTTCGTCTGGAGCCTCCACGGCCCCGCATCTGCGGTCAAGAGAGCATGCTAGTTCTATGCATGGGTCTTCTTAGGATTGGAGCAATGAATGGTTGCAGCGCTTGCAGGGAAAGAATGAACACTAACCTGACGTAGAACAAATCCTCCTTCTCTTCGATCCCAACGCATTCATCTGACTTCTTACAGAACTCTTCGGCTTCCTCCTTCGAAGAAAACGGATCTTCCCTTGACGTGCATGTTCCAGTTCCCTTCCCCAGAACGCCCGACTCGAACACACATTCTGCGGCCCATCACAGTTGCCGGTGACTAATCTTAGACCGACTGTTTCAACGGTGATTTTTGTGGCATTTGGATACCTCTAGATGGAGGCGAACAGCGGGGTTTGGTTGAGCTTACCGTCGATCACTTCATTAGGATAACGGGCTCCGCCGGCGCAATAGAAGCCCGCTGCACAGTTTCCGCTTGCCGCAGCCAGGCCTGCAGTTCTGCAGTATTTCCCAGGAGGGCAAGGCAAGCAGCTGAGTACAGACGAAATGCCCTGTGATGGGTTGTAAAAACCTGAACATACGAACGTACAAGAGCGGTAAAGCAGCTTGCAACTTAGCTGCACAGCTTACGTTTCGCCAGCGGCGTGCAGTTCAACTCTTGCGCAATATCTGTTCACCTGGAGGACAAAGGTACTCCTTGCCATGCTTGGATCCTCTAGGGCAAAACGATCCCTCTGGGCAGATGTATCGTGCATCAAAACTAACTTCGGCCTTCAGTGGGCAGTAGTAGCCCCCAGGACACACGTTACAGAATGTGCTGCCTGGCATATCTTGGTAGGTTCCCTTTGATTCACCCGCACCACAGTATATTGGAGCAGACGTTTCGCTTTCGCTTCTCTGCATGGATCCAGTGAAACTTCTACCAAGGGTTGGATTTTATTTTACTCACAGGGAGACAAGGGACTTTAAATGCTGAACCAAGTGGACACATGTGCCCTGCAGGACACTTTTTCCCGGCCGGCTCCGCTTGCGTCTCTCCTGTGCAGGCAGCACACGAAGGGGACCAGACTGACACTTGAGCAAGTCAGGCTGAGCTTGAATGCTACCCCATTCAGGTTGTTGGCTGACCATTCCACTCTCAGCCAGTAACCTGAAATGTATCCTGACTGCATCTCACCTTCTTCGCAGTAGTACCCCGGTGAGCACTGGGCGGTCGGTTCACTGAGCCCTTCGTTTTCGCAGTACCTGCAAAGAAACCAGTCGCCGTCAGCCTGAAGACTTACGATGTGCGGACGAGAAGTCAGTGTCCACGCCGTACAATTCTAGTTGATGAATGACTCTGAGAATACTCATCATTCAATTTCAAGCTCATCTTGCTCTGCAGGGAATCATACTTGCTATGGGATGCAAACGTACCAGCCTGCTTTGCACTCAATGCACTCTTCTTGTTTAGAGGCACGCGTCGAAGGCTGATAGGTACCTTCAGGGCAGGCAACGGGCTCTGTTGTTCCCTCAGGGCAGTAGTGACCTGTTGGGCAAGGCCCATTCCCGAAGGAATCCATTTCCTGAATAAAAGTTACACATATGGGACTGGCGTTTTCGATAGGGGGAAGAAAGCAAGCCCGCACATCCACGGCAACGGGTTGCCGTTAGTACGCTTAGTGATAATTTTGCCTGCAAAGGAGCTTCCTACAAGGGGTGCGATGCTTGTGCTTCTCGTTGCACAGTAGTAGCCGGCAGCGCATTTTCCTGAGGGTGCCTTCAGCTCCTCCGTCTGACAGTATTCTCCCGCCGGGCACGGTAGGCAGGCGTCGATGCTCGCTCCACGTTTTTCGGGGTTGTAAGTACCCGCAGGACAATTTTTGTGGATTATCGAGCCCTCCTCACAGTACATACCCTCTCTGCAATCCTTCCGTATCAGGTTGGTATCGCCCATACCCTAATCACACAACTTGACCCTTAACCCAATAGATGGCCATGCAGCATACTTTCTAGGTAAACCGAGATCACCAACGTTATGCCTATTCAGCATTTAATGATTCGACGCACCGCTTGATCGCAGTAGTACCCAGCGGGACACGGGAGGCATTCTGTTAACCCTTCTGTTTCAGCATGCGTTCCCGGCTTGCAGTGCTTAGGAAGGGCGCTGCCCACAGGGGCATACGTTCCTTTTGGGGCAATTTGAGCCTTGGGGTTGTTAGAGCCTTCTGGACAGGAGTACCCTCCAGCGCAAGGCCCAACGACAGGCTTGTTGTCGACAACTTTGCAGTAAGCTCCGGCAAAACACTTTCGACAGTCCGTATCGGATGTGCCACCTTCGTATGGATTGAAATGGCCATCGGGACAAGCTTGAAGTTGCGTTGCACCCGCTTCGCAGTAACCGAGAGAGGGGCAGATAACTCCTGAAAGCAAAGCGCCGGAGCGATGAGGACATTTGATGCCTAATGTAAGGGGAGTGCCCATCAGCGCTTGAACAGCTGAACCCAAGAGACAAAGTGAAAAGCTTAAGTAGATAGCAGAGCCAGGCAAAATGAATCATATATCATTTATCCTAGTGAACACTTGAACTGCGTCGTGCTGTATACAAGGATTTCCCTTCCCTGTACGAGATTACAAAGAAAGCAGAAAACATGCATGCCTGTTCAACAGACAGAGTGTGTTATGGGCAAACAGAGCACGAAACTGCCAAACTAAATTAAGTATCGCTTGTAGCCTAGCAACCATGATTCAAGCATAGCGGGATACACCATGAGGGCAACTGTTTTACGGAGGTACATATGCTGCGTTTCGTCATCTTCGGGTCATGTTGATGCGTCACGGGCGCTATACTGCGGCCAGTGAGGTGCCAGTGCGAGATCTGCCATCGCAGCTACTTGTTGCTGCATCGCTTGTTCAGGAAAGTACGACTTGCATGGTGAGTACAATAAACACATAAATTCATTGGGATGCTTGATCTAGCGTTTCTGCGTCACAAGTACTGCGGTGTAAACATCTGCTGCCCTGCCTCGATATATGAACTGGGACACAAATATCGTGGTATGTCTTCCCTCTAGACAGCCGCTCCACGCCACGCAGGGATCAGAAAGGGCATATAAAGGGGAGGCCGTCACACACCTGTGAGGCCGTCTCGAGGAGCCGGGTTTGTGGCTCTTTCCAGGCACAATGTGCCAGCTTCAC